TGGTTGGGGGCGAACTCGATCAAGTTGAGTCGATGTGGGGGCGAACTCGCCATGGGGCGAAACCGGCAGCAACCATTATTCGTTGACCAGTTTTGTAATTTGATAAGCTTATGTAGACGGCATTAAGCAAGTTATTATTTCTAGTTTAAGTCACAAAAACTGGAATGTTGGATGTTGTGTTTCAGCGCCTTTAGTAACATGGATAGCACCTCCTCCTCAATGGACTCAGTCAGATCCAAATGACATTAGGACAGTTGATAAGCCAGTGGTAAATGGAAGTACTCAAGTGGCTCTGAGGTGGAATTACACTCTGTCATCTGGTTTACTGACATTAACTACATTTTCTGTAAGATTGAGTGATGGCAGCTTCGATGACATTGGAACGATATCCGGTAGTAATACACTAATATTTAACAAAAGGGAGTACCCAACACGTTTTGAGATCAATGGGAGTGAACAAGCCACCTTGATAATAAACAAAGTCATGGAAACAGAAGACGAGGTTTACGAGTGCAAGCTTACAACGGATTCAAACCAATGGAGTTACAGAATACGAGTCATTGTAATCGGTGAGTCAATGAGTAAAATAAATAAAATGTGTCACCTGGAATTATGATCACTTCACCCCATGGTCATTTCGCCCCCAGTCACTTCGCCCCCAACCAAAAGTTACTTTGCCCCATAATTGAAGTCACCTTGTTCCATACAAAAGTTACTTCGCTCCATACAGAAGTTACTTCACTCCATGAAAGAAATCAGTGAAATTTGTCGTGAACTTTTCATTTTGATGTTGGAGTTGGACTGATTTTGAACTTATGTCAGTTCAGATTATTAACTAATGCAGTTTCCAGTCGCGTTCGCTNNNNGTGAAATTTGTCGTGAACTTTTCATTTTGATGTTGGAGTTGGACTGATTTTGAACTTATGTCAGTTCAGATTATTAACTAATGCAGTTTCCAGTCGCGTTCGCTTATGCTTGGTAACACTAAATATCATTTTGTTCAATTACTTTCCTTGTTAATTCTTATCATTATCGGCCCAAACCAAACTGCTCCAGGGTCTGCTAGGTGGTCATGGGCACTGGCTGACAACTGAAATTTTACAGGGTGAGAGTCACTGGATGGTTTCCAAAGTTTTTCGTATACAATCGGCCATCGATCTATCAACAGACTTTGTTTGACTTTGGTTGCTATGTAAGCGCTACAAGTGAATACTAAACAACGTAGCCTGTGAAAAGGCTCCTGGTGAGCCCGAACGAAGCGAGGGAGCCTGTAGACATTCTATTAATGCCGTCGTTCTGTGATACCAGCTCCTGGTATCATGATATGATTGGTTAAATCGCTGATTGTTGACATCTTTGAGATGAATATTTGACAATGTTTGTAAAATTACGCGACTCCTATGGTTCGTGACAATAGTACATTTGCCATTCTCTTTTAAGTTTCAGTCTCTCGACCTCTCGTTATTTCACAAGTGATTTTGAAGGGTGCTTTATGCTCTGTTATGAGGAGGAATTTTAAGTAGAAGCTAGTGGAGTGGAGCCGTTTGGCGGTGCGATAGCAATTTTTTTTAGAGGTCAAAGGCATGGTTTCCGTACTTTTCACTGCTTGTCGCTTCGCAGAGTTTGACACCTCTATCGCGTGCTTATAATTTCTTTAGGCTCATTTCAGCATTGGAAAATATGTTTTAAGCTCTCTAAGTGTTGGCTCTGGAGGGACAAAGATAAGTATGAAATATTCTGTGAACATGTTGCTTACTTGCACTCAATATTATGATGCCCGGCCCGGCTATTTGATTAGGCCAATTCGAACTGTTTGCAACTACAGAAAATGTAGCTTCTTGACAGGTCTAATAACCTCATTGACNATGTCACTTGTAAGTACAAGAAGGCACTTCATTAGTAAATATACATGTAGATATATAACAGCATTTTCAAAACAAGCTGGTGACTACCAGAGTTCTGTCGCCTACTTGATTGTATATCTCCACTTACTCTGGCTATAGCAATCAGCTTGTGACAAACAAGCTCAGCAGTGCATCTTATCAATAAATCTGTAAGACAGCAGAGTAACTTCATGCTCAATTTTGCAGCAATAATTTTTTTTTTATATGCAATAGGAAGTAAGCTTGTTTAAGAGCGAGTTTAAAGCGTTCGCTGTATTTTGTGCCCTTTGTATTATTGTGTTTTAGTAGCCATCCTGTAGTTTTAAATAAGTGGCCGGGGTATAAATCTGACGAAGCAAAACGTGGAATGTTTGTGACATCCCAGGTATACATGTCTGCATTTGAAATTGATGGAGCAGTGAAGTACCCTGTCCAAACTACAACACTGCCCACATCACATTTCTAGCCAAATATCACCAATACCAGCCACAAATGCCCATTAAATTGAAGCTCTAAGCCCTAATTGTTCAGCTAAAGTTCTTTGCTCTCTAAAGAAAGCACAACATTGTCACGAAGGTGCAAACGGCCTACTGAGGTGACTTGGTCTTTACTTGTGATGTTCATCTTTGGCTGTTTCATGTCTGATACTATGATGCTTACTAGCAAATTGCTACACTTGCACCTTCATTGGACTGACGTGATGATGAGCTCAGGCACACTTGCTTTAGACAAATGCTGCCTGTAAGGAGCCAAAAAATATAAATTCGTTTTTGAAAATTCAGTGACAGAGATACTATTGAAAATATCAATGTTACACGTACATGTAAGAACTGTCAGAGTGAGGGGGTTTTTCTTAGCTACATTTTCTATGAGTTCGACACAAAACTTTACATTAGAGACTACAGCAAAAGAGTACTAAACTTACATTCATGGCTAGTATAGTACTGTAATGAAGCACTCGTACAAATATGCCACATGTTCATTTCTTTTTTTGGAATTTTTAATAGAAGCCACTATTTTGGGCTTGAAAATTAAGTCAAGATACCTCTCTTATAAGAGTGTATTAAGGCGTTTTCCAACTTAAATATTTTCTCTTTCCTTGCCAATATTATTCCACAATAACAAGGTAGAGATTGAACCTACATGTACATGCACTGCCATTTTCATACAAGTTGTAGGTGAGCACTGTTCTGTCTGTTCTGTCCATCGTTCTGTGCATTGTGTATGCCACATACATTTAGACGTAAATAAACAACATATCATTTCCTGATAAAGTCATATTATTCCCTTATTGAAGTATAATTTAGCCCAAAGGTACATTGGCAGGATACTGATGGTTAGTTTGCATCAATTGGAACTCTCAGAAACTCAATGCAGAGTCATAAATACAGTGTACTTTTCTTTTTTTCCCACCACATAAAATCTACAGATCCAGCAAAGATTGTTGCTAGCAGACACAAAAGAGAACATGAAGTTGCAGCACAACAAAGAGTGTCTCTTGACTGTCCAGCAGAAGGAAATCCCAAGCCGACTTATACTTGGACTCCATGTGATCCACAGCAAAGTGTGTGTCATGAGAGCACACTGATTATTCTTGAAGCTGTCATGGATACAAACTATAGCTGTACAGTTGAAAATTTGCTTGGCAGTGATACAATAAATACCAGTCTGTGTAAGTAATAAGTAAACACAGATTAGTAGTAGCCAAATGGATTTGCATTTGTATTGATCATTAAGTTTCATAAATGCTAGGTAGCCCACTTGTATTGTCATGTTCCCCCAACAGCTCCTTTGTTTTGCTACCCGGTCAGTACAGTGAATGTTTGCTCCCTACAATAATTGACATGGTTTTTGTGAATGTCTTGTACACAAGAACCATGGCCATCCCCATAAAATGTTTTGTTTCCCATCGCCTTCCCTCTCATACAAGTGGGTTGGTTGGTGGAGCAAAACATGAAATTGACCGAGGGTGCCTGAGTTCAGCATACCGTTCTCCTTACACATTGCTGTTTAATTAAAAAGGCCACAATCAACCATTGCGGCTAGGCACTCCATCCGCAGTATTTTCTGTAATGCACATATTACGAACCTCTTGAGTGTTATTATATGTAAGGATCAGACCATTA